TTGCAGAGAATGCACCAACAAGGGGAGCTACATCTGTAAGGAGTTGTGAGTTGGATGTTGTCACAAATATTTAACCCTTTGAATCTCAGAGTTTAAAGAAAAGCTTTGCATTTATTTGTTATACCATCGAGGTTAAAACAATTAAAGATAGAAAAAGAGCTCCCCCCAGCCAAAATGTCTCCCTGAATTTGTCCATACATTCTCTGATAGTAATATTAAAACCTTGCGCATTTAGAGCTACTGCAACTACCTTCTCCTATCTACCAATTGAAAGAGGCCAAACTGTAATGGCTTCTAATTACAACATGCCACATAGCATCTTTTTTCCTGGTGATTTATACTTGAGACTTCTAAACATTTTGTTTTCCGTAGTTGACTGATCAACATTTGTTTTTCACATGCTTCATGCCCTCATCCAGTATGGTACTACACCCTTGACTGATCTTCTTCTTGCAGGAGTCTTGCCTGCCCCCCTCTGTTCCTGGACGACAGCAGAAACTGCAGTTTGCACTTGGATGTCAAGTAGTCTTGCCCCCCGAGAGTTTTCTGACACTTAGGCTTCCATTTGTTTATGGAGTGCAACTGGATGATGGAAGTCTTCACCCTCTTAACCCTCTTCAGCATCAACCTGAAGCGACTGCTTGGATAATTGGGGGCACAACATTGCAGATCCTGTCAAAGTCTGGCAGTCTGGATGAGGGATTTCAAACATAATCAAAATTTAAACAATGGAACTTGATGCCTATTCCCTGCACCTGTGAAGGGTTTCAATCATTCAATCAAAAAGAGACGCACGCAGATGTTACCAGCATCATCAAAGTGTTGGTAAGACGAGTTTTCATGTCGATTATATATTTATACTTCATTGTTTATTTCCCCCCGCAGTGTTTTTGTCTCCCTGTTATCTGCATGTACTGCTCCTGCATAATTTAGGGTTTATTTTAAAGTAATTTGAAATAGTTTACTTGACATACATGATTTAAGCTTTTCAGACGTGGGAATTCTCTTGTGATCCTTCACCAACAGTTATCTCAAGCGATGACTACAGATGTAAAATGTGAATTGTCTATCTGCATACCTCTCTTTAGTGGTTATCGTTACGATACACCGAATACCTGGTGACAATGGGCTGCCTCTTCCGGACTGGATGACCAGAAGATATTAAGCTGTTTCCAGGTATTACATTCTGCATTTTTTTTTATGTATATATGGTGATTGGGTTCCTGTTCTTATTGAAAATTAGGAACCATCTATCAATATTAAGTTGTTCCGGTTGAGAGCTCCTTCCTAAGCCTCGTGGAAGGTGGCTGCTCATTGGTTGGTAATATACATATAAATGTAAGGAACGTCGCACATTTTATGGATGGTTTTCAGGAGTGGTTTCTTGTCGTTTAAGCAATGTAATATTTTGTTGGATTAATGTCAAATTTTTAAGATGGCGTAATATTTCTGGTCTACAGTCTACGCTACATTATCATCTAAACCATGTTTCAATTGCAGGGAGGTTTTTGGATTTTCTCACCAACCTACCAATCCTCGACAGTAGCGAGGAGAGGATTGGACACAACTGTGCAGCCGATCGTCTGTATGCTTACTTTCTTGTGACAGAACTGAACAAACCTTAAAAGATGTTTCTAAAGCTGAAGCATTCCCCAGTGCTGCAGAATCCTACTCCCAGATAATGCACTTTTCTTCACGAAGGAACACAACTGTGCAGCTGCCACTCCAACCATGTTCCTCAAAAACTTCCCCATGCTGCACAAGATGCTTGAATGCCCCATAAAAGTTTGCGGGGTTTCCCCAACAGTGTCTCCGTGGTAAATTTGGTCTTTATGATTAGGAGAAAGTTGTAGTTTTAAAAGTTATAATTCCGTTCAAATGGCCTTGCATTACAAATTAAAGTTGCTAATGAAAATAGTTACAGGCTTAGAAGGTTAAACATGGAGAGATTAAGGTGTGATTAAAACTCAAATCCATGGTTAGGAAGTGCCCCAGTAAGCCAAAGCTTCAGACTTGGCAAGTTCATGTCCACATCACAGGCCCTCACCTGCAAAACCATCATAATGATTGATAATTTCATTCTGGTTTGAAAGCATTTGAATTCATATCATATAGAAGTAATTACATAAATTGTAGCAGTGAGAATGAATCTCTCAGAAGCAGAGGCCAAGTTTGAGCTTTAAATATTGTAACTGGTAAGGGATTCAAGAACCATGTATACAGACATGGCTACTCTTTCACCCATCTTGCAGACCAGCCTTAAATAAAACCCTGTTTCCTCCACTTGGAACACATCCAGCTGAAAGGGAAGAAATCCCCCAATTGCAGGTTAGATTAGCAGCTTCTACCATGAAATTTGCTTCCCAAATGTACTGGGTTTAGGGTTCAGAGTTTCAAGTTTCGTTGATTTAGGATTCTAAAACTGATATCTCTGGTTTGAGCTTCTTTGCCTGCATTTGGAGCTGTTTCACGTACAGAACTGCATCCCCTACAATGAAAGCCTTATCGATTTGCACTTTAGGTCATTGTACATCTAATGGTTATGGTAAAATTTTGTGTAAGCAAAGATGGCAACGGTTAAAGTCTACTATTAGCAAATATTATTCTCTTTGGGCTTTCCTTTTTTAGTTTTCTTTCAAGATTTTGAAACGCGTCTATTAGAGAGAGATTTCCTCGTTCTCTTCTCTACTTTCCTTTCTAGGTTTCCTCTCAATATATTTACAACGCGGCTGCTAGGGAGAGATTTTCTCGTTCTCTTCTCTACTTTCCTTTCTGAGTTTCCTCTCAATATATTTACAACGCGTCTATTAGGGAGAGGTTTTCTCGTTCTTCTCTCTACTTTCCTTTCTAGGTTTCCTCTCAAGATTTTGAATCGCGTCTACTAGGGAGAGGATTCCTCGTTCTTCTCTCTACTTTCCTTTTTGGGTTTCCTCTTAAGATATTTGAAACGCGTCTACTAGGGAGAGGATTTCTCATTCTCTCCTCTACTTTCCTTTCTAGGTTTCCTCACAAGATTTTAAAACGCGTCTACTAGGAAGAGGTTTCCTCGTTCTCCTCTCTAACCAATGTGAGATCTTACAATCTACCCCCTTTAGGGACCCAATGTCCTCGTTGGCACACCGCTTGGTGTCTGGCTTTGATACCATTTGTAACAATTCAAGTCCATCGCTAGTGGATATTATCTACTCTCTTTGGGTTTTTTCTTCCGAGTTTTCCTCAGTTTTTAAAACGTGTTTAATAAGGAGAGGTGTCTACACTCTTATAATAAATACTTCGTTCTCATGTAGTATTATGAATGCGGGTATTAATTTATGTTACCTCAGTTATATTTGGAACCAATGAATGCAATGCATAAAGCTTTTCCTTCATCCTTCCCCTCCTCCGCTCAGAAACCAAAGTTCTGGATCTGTCCACCTTTGCCTTCTTTGTTGCAGTCATTGTGACAGAAGAGTACTCGTTTTCGTCGCGTCGTCTTCGACATCTTTCACGATACTAATGAAACTCTCCAATGAACTAAACAACGAAGAATTAGGATCAGAACTGATGAGGATGTTGGAATCAAGCATTGGATCCACACCATTCCCCACCAAGCAGCCATTCATGTAATCAACATCAAAGTTGATGATGGGATTTTCATGAATGAGATTCACATATTCATCCAAGCTGTCTCCATGGATGAAATCTTGGAGCTCAAACTCCTTCATGTTCAATTGTTCATCATATATCAAACATTATGGTGATTTCAAAAGCTTGAACAGCAAAATGATCAAGATTATAAAGTGATCAGAACTTAGAAGCATGTTTAATTTTTATTACACGTTTAATATTTTATCAATCCATATTGATTAGTTGATTAGATGCATAATGACATAAGGTTAAACAAATTTTAGTGAAATCAAATATTTTATGAACTAACATTTTACTTTACTTAAAATTTAAATAAATAGTTGAATTAAAAAATTTATGATTGAGTTGAATTGAACTCATTATTTAATAAAAGTTGTTTGAATTGAAAAAATTTACGATCCGAATAACAAGAAATGTCTCAACCTAACTCAATTTGATCTACGAACACTCATTCTGGCTTTTCTTTTTCTTTGAAATAATAAATTTGTCATAAATGTTAATATTGCTGAGCAACTTCAATTATAAATTGATTAAATTAATTAATTGTGTTTGACACACAACTCCCACGTGGAAATTCCCTTTTTGGCATATGTCTCCACATGCCATAAACCAATGGTTCCTTGTCAATTAATTAATTGTGTGGTTAGTCGGTTTGATTGTTTATTGATTGGGCTGTGGACACCCACAATCAATCAATCCATTAGGCCCAAATAAATTGTAGCCCATTTAGGAGCCTGCTTCCCACACGGCCCACATCGTAGGTTCATATTTGCATCGTCTCTCACAAATGAAAGCCCATTAGGCCCAACTAAATTCTAGCCCATTTTAGGATCCTGCTTTCCTCACGGCCCACATTGGAGGTTCATATTTGCCTGTCTCTTACAAATGAAATCCCGAAAATACCCTCGCCCTCACCGACAGTTTAAACCCAACCCTGTTTTCGTATTCTTCTTCCCAAGGTAGAGCATAAGAGCCCTGGATTCTTATTCCTCGACAACCCAAGCCCACCCCTAACAGACAAATAGTATTAGAGCCAAACACCAGACGTGATAAATAGTATTAGAGTCAGACACCAGACGTGATAAATAGTATTAAAGTCAGACATCAGACAGTGTGCCAACAAGGACGTTGGGGCTCAAAGAGAATGGATTGTGAGATTCACATTGGCGGGAGAAAAACAATATCTATAAATAGTGGACTTGAGCTATTGCATAATCAGGCTATTCTCGTCTGTTCTAGACACGTATCGACCATTACTATTCAAAACTAATGATAATAGAGCGCAATAAAGGGGAAGGAATAAGTGTGGACTATAATTGGTACTCGTGTGAGACATTTATGGTGTCTATCTGCCCCCACCATAACTTTTCCACAAACTTTCTTCTTCTTCTCTCTGTCTTTATAACTTTTTCATTATTGTCGACAAAAAAAAAAAAAAAAGGGAAATGCAACGTAAAACTGAAACTGTATTTGAAGTTTTACCATTCCATTCATTCAAAATGATAAGAAGAGTAGTACAACAATATAGTGTTACCTAAAAAAGGTTCAGCTGTCAGCTCAGTTCACTGCAACTCTGCAGCCTCCATTATCCTGACATGCTTGTATTTTGCTTTGGGTATGTCTCTAAGGTTTCTGCATTTAAATCTCTGTCCAAATAATGCATCTTTTTGCCTTTAAACTATCATATCATCCCCACTACATGAAGCACAAGAAAAGCTTTCACAATTCACAAACAGACACAGCTGAACATAACCCCCCCCCCCCCCCCCCCCCCCCCCCCCCCCCCCCCCCCCCCCCCCCCCCCCCCCCCCCCCCCCCCCCCCCCCCCCCCCCCCCCCCCCCCCCCNTTTCTTTTGTTTTAGGAAGGAACAGACTTCTCCTTTCTAGATAAAGATGCCTTAAATTTACAGAAACATTTAAAGGGCATCTCTTTAAATACCCAAATTGTGGCTTTTGAGACTCATCTAGCTTTGAAGACAGTGAACCCATGACTGGCTCGCTCCAATGTGTTTGAATAGAACAAAATGAAAAGGGATTCATAATTCTATCATTTTATATTAGCTGACCTGACAACCAAAACAACCAACCCATTAGTTCTCTGCGTTTGTCCAGCGCCAACCTGCTCACCCGCCCCTCAAAGCTGAAGATTGGTGGTTTTCCCCCTTTTTACACTCGGAGATATGCAGAATCATCAAGGACCCACCAACCAATTATCACCATCGATTCAATTCAATGAAGAACTGATCAAAAGTAGGATGATCTAGGAGGGAACGAGCTTTTTCTACTTGGCCGAAAGCTGAGGCATCCATCCATGCTTTTCCTTAGGTTGCCTGAAGTGTTGATTTTGACCAGATTATAACCCGAGCTCCTGAAGCAAGCCTGTGAAAAGAAAATTGAACAAAATGTCAACCAAGATTCACCAAAAACTTGACAATCTATTAAGAAAATTGCAAGACTGCACTCAACTTTCTTCGATCTTGACTACATCCTCTTCGTCTTCTCGAAAGGAATCTAGCCTTTTAGACTGTCTCCTACTGGAGCAAGACTCTGTAATCCTTATTCTGCTATCATTGGAGGGACTGGGGCTTATGGACTGAGAGCTATCAACTCCATCAGAAGATGTTCTTGGTCGATCGGAAGTAGGAGATTTCATTGGCTCGCCTCGTGGTTGCTTGCTTAGTGATGCTTTAATAGCCCGTGGAATGCACTTTGAGTGGCCTGAGGACGACTCATTTTTGTCTTCTGTTGAATTCAATTGCTTAAATGTCCTACAGAATTAGCTCATTGTTGGAAGCCTTATGAAGAAATAACCATACATATCGCTAAAGCTCTCTGCTAACAACACAACTTTTAATGTGCATTAATGTGCATTGTATAAAAAAAAAAAAACAGGAAATACCATCATTCATATGCAAAAAAAAAACCTTACGTACAAATCTGCATAATCTCTCATCAATCTTTAAGGTTTAAATGGCATAAAAATGTAGCATAGGAACTTTATATCATCTTAACTACCTACGCAACTAGGCGAAGAAAATGAAATGGCAGAAAACAGCACAGTCATGGATCATGAGTATCAATCCAAACAAAGAATACCCTTTGGCATGTTAAGGTGATATACACTGGACAATTAGGTCCTCTATCTACTAAAACCATGGTACCTGTCAGCATTGTATGAAGATGATCGTTTCAAAGTTGTAACTCCATCCCCTTGCAGCATTTTAGTCTCGATCAAGCTACCACTGAAATATTCCTTGTCTTCCAATCTCAAGCCCATCATCCTAGGATTCTCAGACAGGCGGTTGAGTTCTCCCAACATCACTGTAGTAGAGAATAGTGGGGAGGGAAATTTGGAGTGAGAAAAGCTTGGTTTGTATGATGGAATGAGTCCAAAACTATGGTCCTTTACTGATATTGATCCACACGAGATAAGTTGCATTAACACATTAGTAGCCTTGAGTCTTGCGTTGGTTGGCATCCGAATTTCTTCTTCTTCAAGAATCCTAAAACTGTTCATTTTACTCGCATCGGCTCGGATGAGCGACTCTAAAGTTTCAGTCTTCCCAGCTGAAGAGCAAGCACTAGAGGACAATGGGGGTGGAGAAACTGAATCCTGAGGGGCATCATAGTTTTGTTTTCGATTTGAAGCCTCATTGTTAACGGTTTGACTACGCTCCAATTCTAGGGTCCCATCATCTGTTGAAACTCCTCTTGTACAAGTTTCTCGTGTTTTTGGTGTGCTGACATTTTCCTCAGTCTGAGTCGATGCATCCGACAAGCCATCAGTCTTGTACACCTTGTATTCTGTCAAGCTAAAACAACCACCCCATGAACTCTTTCCACCTCCAGAATCCAGTGAAATGCTTGATGAATCGGGTCGAAGGACTGACAGCGAGAGGTCATCTTCTTGAGAACTTTTAGTTTCTTTTCCGTTCATGCTTGAAGATGATGAAGAATCATCCTGACTCTGAGAAGATGCTGGATCAGGTAACTGCTTCAATGGCTGAATATTCACATTGCCAATGGAACTGAAAGGGTCTGTGAGAACTATCCAATTTTCAAAATATTTTTTCATTACTTCTTTGACACAAGAACCAGAACCTAGTATGCAGCCTTATTACGTCTAAAAACATTATATGGCCAAGTTTTTATACTAACCTTTACTAGAATTGGACTCTTCAAACAGCTCTGAGCCTTTGAGAACATACTCATTTCCATGAGCCGGAAGAATTACATCATCTTCGCAGAGGTCATGCCAAACAAATCCATTCTTGTAGCCTCTGCATAATTAGGCCCAACAGATTACATTCCAACATTTCAGAAACTTAGACATCTCAGAGTTTTCAGATGATTTCTCTCCAATAGTTCTCCATATCCGAACAGATAAGAAAGAAAAATGAAAAGATTGCCAATAGTTTACCTCTTACAAGACCAAGAGTACAAGGTCGCCATGCCTCTTCCTCTGAGAACATTAAGCCTGTTGATCACATCTGGGCAAAAACTACTTTAAAGCATATCAAATCGTTGGGAAAGGAGGGGGAGGGGATAATATTAGCAGCAAGGCCAACATATTCTTATACAGTTTGATTAAGCAATACCTCTCAAATACAGTCTCTCAGGGGATGAGAGTGGTACTTCCATGAAGTGAGGATGCTCGAGCTGCCTATTTCTGCATAGATAGTAAATCACAGGCACCTTGCGAGTCTGTTGGTATTTGGGCGACTTCTCAGTCCACACCTTAGCCCTCTGGGGACTCAGTTGGTTGTACTTCTTCATTCTCGTCTCCATAGCACCTCAATAAGACATCAATCCCTCGTCAAGACGGCTTTACCAATCGATCAGATTCTAGGCTTTGAGCTTCCTAAGGAACAGTTATAGCAGAATCCCTGTAAAAAACCAGTCGGGATCAGACAGCCTCAGATGCATGAAGAAGAGGGCTCAATTAATACACATGACAGAACAAATTGGAAGAAGTAAATGCCAGATCTGAGAACAGAGGAAGGAGAAAAAGGGTCAATCATATGGGACAAAAATGAAAAATCTTTGATGTCAAGAGAACAAGTAGAGAACTGATTGATGAAGGAAAGCTCGCCCGAGTTTATTGCTCAATGGTACAGAGACAGCTTGTTGAGAGAGAGAGAGAGAGAGAGAGAGAGAGGCGTGGTGACATGGGACTGAGAGGGACACGATGGAAACCAAACAAGAAGCTCTTACCCTCCTCATTCCATGGGGGTCTTCCCTATTTGCTTCTTTTTTTAGGCTGATTCAGTGGAACGCCATAAGCTAGCTAGCTTAGCTTGTCTAGTTGCCTCTTTTTGATACCTCTGGGGCAAAAAGAAAATGCAAAATTTAATCCTTATTCTTTCAAGTGTCCAGTAGCTTTGGACTTCTCCTTGACGCCTACAGTACTGACAGGTGAAAATTTAAACTTGAAACAACCACTCTACTTGACTCCACTCAACCACCACAACCACTCTACTCGACGATATGGATGTATTTTGGATCCTATGAAACCAGACGAAATACGGCTAAAAGACACCAAAAACTTCAATCACCAAGTCTTGCAATACCAAATCAAATGATTTAAAAACCATACAGCACCCACAAGGCTCGAAAATCATTAAAAAAAAGATCAGGAAATACGAAGGGGCATTTTTACAAACAGGTGGAGGGCATCCCCTTACAGAAAAAGAACAACGAACCCAGATGGAGCAGCTCCAAGTCGAGTCACTGAATGATTCTGCTAGCAAATCTTAGCAACACAATTGCTGGACATCATGGAATAATTGCCAGGAAAGAGGCACGCCGATGAACGACATGGCGGGTACGGCAAGGGGCACCATCGCAGCTTGAAACTGATTGCTCCCTTTCCTCCAAGGAACCATGCTTCTTGATCTTCTTCATCGGTCTCATTAAATACTACACGATTACGTGGGTCACCCGATTTTGCTGTGCTTGAAACTTCAGTGCCGCGTGTGGTGGTCTGTTGCATAATTTTCTGCAGATGTTCAATTCAATTTCAAGAACATTATTGAAACAAATACCAAAGTTTATGACTATGTTCAATAATTCGGCCTTGTTTTAACAATTTTTGCTGTTGTATTTTCCATTAAATTCAATATTGGTCCATCACACGATGTCTAGCTCCAAACATTTATTAATCGAGAAGACTAGCCTCATAGAATAGCCACATAATGCTTTTAAATTACATTTTAACTTCCTGCTTTTCTCAAGAACAGGAGAACAATATATATATATTCTTGCAAATTGCAGCTGAAGATTATTTGATGGGCTAAATTCGGCCCATTTAGGTTATTTGATATGCTAAATTCGGCCCATGTTGTCCACTTCAAAATGGCGCGAAGAACGTAGGGTCGGAATAAGCAAGCCGCAGAGTTCGAAGAGCTCAATTCAAGGAAAAATGAACCGACGGCGACGATTGAAGAGATAACAATTACAGTCCGATCAGAACCGAAAACTCTTATCGCCAATTCACAGTTCTTCCGGCCGCCCTGTCCAACATATATGTGCGCAGGCAGGTATGATTCACGAGCACAAGTTCTTGTTCTTATGCCGCTAATATATATTCCTAGGAGCTGGATTTTCAGAATCAATGCTCGAGGAACGTTGTACTAGACTCCGCTCTAATTATTCCTAAACCGAAGGTCAGTGTTTCAATTCCTATTCATGATGCGAACAATGGGGTTCCCCGTGTATGCTTTAGTTCCATGGATTTCTCAATACTGTTCTTACAAAGCTTCTAACATTCACTCATTCCTTTTTCAAATTAGGTTGCCGACATGTAGAATGCAAAACAATCAAGATAGCAATGAAAACGGCTGAGGATTGGAGTATTAACTCATTCCAAATATGTTGCACCCTGGATTTTTCTACCGCTGACAAATTACTATATCTGGTGTTATAGTGCACATGTCATGTCGGCCTGGGCCTTGGGGTTATGTTTCAGGTTCAACCAATCAGAATTTAGCTGATCTCTATGTTCCTTGCAATACATAGAATATTTTTCGCTGTTGAGATAAGAGTTTCATAGGCCCATATATGTTCTTGAATCTTTTTTAACAATGTAGACAAAATGTGAAATCAATTTTTTTGCGTTTGATATGGTAATTTATGATATTATAGAAGCCGTGTCTTGTCCTGTTTTCTATTGTTTTCAATGGTGTATTATGTTCCTTTCTAGGGAACACTGGTATTGCTCATATCGTATTAATGTCCATTTGATATGGTTTTTATTGTCACTACAAGTTTATCTTTGGATTTTTAGTAGCCATTCTCAGGCGAGCCTGAGCTTTGTCTTGGACGTATGTGCTTTTGTACCAAGCGCTGGTCTCAGATGAGGGTAGATTTTGAGATCTCACATCTTGGAGAGGGGAACAGGGGAACGAAGTATTTTTTATAAGGGTGTGAAAACCTCTCCCCAACAAACACATTTTAGAACCTTAAGAGGAAGCCCGGGAGGGAAAGCCCAAAGAGGATAATATCTGCTAGCGGTAAGCTTGAGTTGTTACATTCTCGCTATCAACAAGCTTGTCCAAATGATGTTTACATTCTCGCTATCAAGAAGCTTGTCCAAATGAAGAAACAAGATACCCAGACAGCCAAACCCATGCCCATTTGATTATTTGATGGAAGTAGTCAAGATTTGTTTAAAGTGCAGTCTACCCTGTTAACTTAACAAACATCACCGTGTTGACTGGGGCAGAGACAGCACATGGCATTGTGCTGAAAATGGCCTGTTTGTATAACCATTTGTGGTCAACTGGCAGAGATTTCGGAGAAAACTTTTATTTTGTCCTCACTTGGACATGCTTATGCAATTTGAAATGGCTTGTTTGCTTACTGAATATGCCTATTTGCTCATTGGTTGGTATGGTTCTGAATATTATTTGTAGATTGCAATGATATGAATATGATTCCCCAACCCCTCTTCCCCAGGTAATCCCACAGATATGGAAACACAAAGATCATATTTGGATGAAGCTTTTGATGGTACAGTTCTTCGCCCTGCCTAATGTTCTGATTTGTATTTTGATATATTATGAATTAGGCAGACACCGGATTGAACTTGAAATACAACATGATGGTGACAAAATGACGGAAATTTTGGAGGTATGGAAGTCTGTAAACTATTGTGTTGAGTGTTTGATCAGTTAGTTATTATGTTTTTGCTGTGATCTAAGACAAGCTATCAAACACGATGAATCTCAGAATTGGAATTGCATCTTATATGACAAACAATTCTGGAAAAACTCGACCCGTTTCTCAGACGGAGGATGAAAAAGAAATACTATACTATGATTGTGTTTTGCTGCTCTCTGGTTTTTGTAGTGGTCAGCGAGGAGCAAGCCTTCGACACTTTGTCTCGGTTGGAGAATCAGAGCCTTCCAAGAAAGCTCTTTTTCTGCTTCCACAATTGGTAATGTTGCTGCTACGACTGAATGTCACTGGAGAATCCCGGAGGAGCTGCGGTGGTGGCGTTGAAGGAACTGTCACTGGTGGGATCTCGAAGGGTTCAAGTGGTGGAGGTGGGTGTCTCCACTCAGGAAGAGGTCCGGCAACAAGCAGAGTCTGAAGCAGAGGGCCTGCTTTCATCACTGCTTCCAAAAGCTTGCCTTTTTCAGGCAATAGCTTCTCTGAAACCAATTCGACCGCGGCCTGCGACGTTGCTTGTAGCGGCAGAGATGTAGCGAACTGTGGTGGTGGAATTGGATCAATGGCAGGAGACGATACAATGCTTTCTTCGCAATCCGACGAGGAGAAGCCATTGTTGGAATCAATTCCTTTCCTTTGTTCATCTTCAACACTGGAAATTCCTGAATGTTGACCTGTTCGGTGCTGAAGGAAAAGCTTCTCAATGAGTAACTTCTGGATCTTTTCATTTGCTTCCTCCCTCTCTCGATTGGCTCTGCTGAAAAGTTCTTTGAGATTAATTATCTGTTCATCTCTCTTTCTTAGCTCCTCATGAACTGCAGCCCTCGTCTGTTCCAGCTCAAGAGTTGCACAAAAAAGCGAATGCCTCAATTCTTCAATGTTCTGTTTGAAAGCACGCAAACCCAACAAAGAAATCAGAAATGGAAACAAACCCAGAAGCCAAATTCTGGAAATATAGATGAAAAGAAAGAACTTTTTTACCATTCCTTGGAAGAAGTAAGCCCAACCCAGAAAAGCGCTGCATTGGTTGTCCATAACAGTTTCAGAGAGAGAGAAAGTGAGTATCAGTTGGTTGGAGGATTGATACTCATAATGTAAACATTATATGATGCGATATTTAGAGCATTTTAATGAAATGTAAATAACTAAAAATAAATATTGCATGTGAGATATGGATATTTCATGCATCCATTTCTGACTTAGGGAATGCTTAGCATGTGCGATGAGCCCCACATATGTTGAGAGAGAGAAAGATGTGACCTTTCATTATCAATGACACAAGCTTTTAGTGAGAGAGAGAATAAAAAATGTAATTACTGTCCACATTATTGTAAAAAATGTTCAAATTTGATGGTTGACACGTATGATCGGTAGTCAACACCCGAAAATGGTTTTGAAACGAAGGAGAAAAGTTTATACCGGTGTGTATATGAGCTGAAAATTAAAATCCCCGAAAATGGTTTTGAAACGAAGGAAAAAAGCTTATATCGATGTGTATATGAGCTGAAAATTAAAATCTTGATAAACCGGAAACTGATTAGTTAAAATATGGAGTGGTTGGTTCACAAGTGGTCTCATTTACAAACATAATCATTAATTAGGGTACCTATTAACCATAATTTAGAACAAAATCACGTTGAAAAGATGAGACATAATTTCGATTCTTTGTGATCCATTTAACTTATTTTACAACATTATTTATTGATTCTATTCAAAGATAATAAAGAAAGAGGGCCCAAATGTGAATCTAAACCACTAAACACGAAATTAATCATACCCATTGGGAATTTCTTGAATACTCAAACCCCATTTTCCAAAACCAAAAACAAAAGTTGCACATTTCATATATAATACCAAAAGAATCCTTCGATCTTTTTTACCTTTTATATACATAACGTTATGATTTCAATCTTTATAATCGACATTATTAAAAGAAATGTTAATGCAATGTCTATTTTAGTTCGTTACATATCATTGTCAGCTTCACAATTTTTAAAATACGCTTATTAGAAAGAGGTTTTCAAACTCTGATAAGAAATATTTTATTTTTCCCTCCTCTCAATTAATTGGAGGGAAAGTTATTGCAAAAAGTCCACGGTGGTGGGTCATAATAGGTCTAAAGTTTTGCTCCTAAGCATATTATAGAGATGCCAAACTTTATTGCAACCGCGTGGGCTCCACTCGCCAATATCCCTTTTTTTTCTTATTATTTAATATTAATAATTGGGAGAAAAAAAATTATCTCCCATTTATATTTACACAAAAATAATTTAATAAATATTTAATAGTTATTATAAAGCTACTACGTTTGAATAATTTGTCTCGTATAAGATAAGATGTCTCTTTAATTATTATTTTTAGATGGGTCATCAGTCTAATCATGTATTTAATCACAACGCTTTCATTTAAATAGTTTCCAATGCCCTATTAATTTATTTTATTTTTAATATAATAAATTACTTAAATGGGTCTATATATATTATTTTATTTTATTTTTAATATAATAAATTACTTAAATGGGTCCAAAAAAAGATTTTTCACGATTTATTACCTCAAAAGTCCTCATGGGTTAGTTGACCAAATATAGAAACTTTTTTTTTTTTTTTTGCAAATATATATTTAATTTCAGGAAAATCAAAAGGGACCCCACACGTTTGGAAAGCTGAATATAAAATGATAAGCTAATCATCAAAGGCACGTGACTTCCACACTTCGGTTCATTAACATTTAATATTTTAGATTATTTTTAAATCAAATTCTGGGCTGTCCAATTGATGCTTTAATAATTTTGGGCTTTAAATTGCCCGCCAGAATCCATTGGGCTTCCATTCGGCCCATTATCAGCTTCATGAAACGGATCTCATTCAGATGGGCTTTGCAACATGGGCCGAATTCCTTGACTTTTTTAATATATTAAACTTTTATAAATTAATATTTTATATTTTAAGGAAATTAAAACACTCTCTTTACATATAAATTTCTAACCATTTAAATAGATTTTTTTTTTATAAGAAACATGTTTCATTTAATTAAAAATGAAAATCACATATAATTTTCTTAGAAATTGGAAACTAAAACCTGCTTACTATTTAAATAGATTTTTTTTAAAAGAAAATATATTGTATTTAATTAAAAAATAAAAATCACATATTTTTCTTAGAAAAATTTGATCTCCAAAATTAAATGAATAATTTTACGGGACAGCGAAAGAGAAGTCATCACTAAGCCTACCGGGTCGGGTTAATACCTCTAAGTCTTATTCATGTATTAAAATTACTACCTAGTCTTTAATGACGGTACCAAAATGAATATAAAAAATGGGAAATCAAGGAAGAATAATTCTTCCCTATCGCTATTCAAAGTTCTTATTATTTTTAGTCACGAATACGCATAATCACCCATGATTCGTAATTGTTTCTTCCGCTCCTTTATTATATTTGAAACCCTTAATCCTTAAGTAACCAAGGTTATGCCTCTAGCATCTTTAAAAAAATAATAATAATAATAAATAAATAACCATGCTTTAAAAAAAGAAAAAAGAAAAAGAAAAAGAAAAAGAAAAAGGAAAGGAAGAAGGATGTGATATACAATTCCTCCCAAAAAAAAAAAAAAAAAAAACGACTTATATCAAACGGAAAAGTCAAAATATTAGGGAATATCATAACATTACAGATGGTCCGTCTTCAGGGTTTAAAACACACCCTATCAACCTTAGAAGATTTTAAAGCGCGTTTAGTATGGAGACATTGTAACGATTCAAGTTCATTACTAATAGATATTGTCTTTTTAAGTTTTTACTTTCAGTTTTTCCCTCGAAATACTTAAAACACTAATGCTAGATAGAACTTTTTTCTTATAACAATGTTTTGTTACTCTCTCCAACCGATTTAGGATCTTACAATACACTCCTCTGGAGAGCTAGCTTAGGCTTTGATATCATTTTTAATACCTCAAACCTACCGCTAGTAGAAACTATTTATTTATTTCAACTAACCTTACAGATTTAAAACATATTTACTAGAAACAAGTTTCCACCCCTTTTAAAAGAATGTTTCGTATCCGTCTACATTAAATCTCCAACATGTCAAACATTTTGTATGATTAGATGATTGAGAGACAACATGTATATATATTATTATATTGGAGCTCTCTTTGTTTATAACTTTGCATGTGGTTGGCCAGCTAATGGATGGATAGTGTAGGGTCAGTGCCCCTAAAAATGCGCAAAACTTTCCAGTTCAGCAATTATAAGTCCTCCAACAAATGTAATGTAAGGAAGGGTCCATCCCTTCTCTTTTCAGTTAGCATTGTTCCTTCCCTTCCGAGGGAGGGCAGGTCCTACATTTTTCTTTTTCTCAATGGACAGTTCCTCATTCTTTTCATATTCCTTCCCACAACTCAACCTTAAAGTCTCTTTTTCTAGGCTTACGGCCCCCCCCCACATATATATATATTATAAAACCTAGTCATAATACACGAATTAAATGGACCTCTCGTTTTTCAATAATTGGACATCTTTTAATCTCAAATAACATATTCGTACCATACGCAACATTATTTTTATAAGTTAATACTCGATAAGATTTATATATTTTACTATAAGTTATGATTTATTTAAAAAATAAATAAAAGCACATGAAGTGTGGGGCCCACTGCCAGTGAATGTATTTAAAAATTTTAAATTGTAATTTAACACATTAATTAAGTTAGTTGGTGCATGCTAACTAAACATGTTTAATTAAGTTAATGGCGGATTAAGATAGCGTAAGGCGCAGGGGAATTTGGTGGGTTTGCTTTCTTTCTTTTTGCGAAAAATTGGAACGAACCCTAAACTAATAATAATAAGAAAAATGGGGAGAAAAAAAAAAATACAATAATAAAAGAGGAAGGTGAGGAATATTAAAGGGTAACGGATGGGCATATGATTTTTTGCAGCTATGCCTTGCCGTGCACGTGACTTCATTTGCTAACACAATCATATTTCATATAATCCATCTAACATATATTCCTATTCTAAGTATTAAAGTTGTGTATTTATATCAAAATCTTTCCGTTTAAAATCATCAGACTCATAGCATATAATATTTGCTAGTGGTGGGTTTGAGTCAAACTCCAGACAGTAAGCCAACTAGAAAGTTGATCTCTAAAAGTGGATTGTGAAATTGTACATAAGTTAGAGAGAGAAACTCTTGGTGTTACTAGAGCAGCACCCTGGCTCATAGTGGGTTGTTATAAAAGCACATTGGCTCTCTTAATGGGTTAATACAAGAGGAGGCTAGCGATCCTAAAAAGTGAAATGTGAGTGAGATGTTATTAAAAATAGATATCAAACAATGTATGAGCGAAGATATGTGTGTGAAGTTAAGATTAAGTTTATGGGAGTTTGGAAGTACAGTTTATTATTATTATTATTTGAATTTAAAATTATAAAATTTTCTTAAAAGTGGGTAAGTAGTTGTCACGTTTGGACAGAGCAAAGCTGGTTTGTTTATCGGGAAAAGCAGCCGATCTGTTTAGGAATGAGAAAGAAAAGTTACAGCTTTCTTGATTAAATGCACCTCTAAGATCTTATTATTAGATTATAATCAAACACTTCGACTTTGACTAAAAACCCCAGCCTCCACCCTCACTTCAAACAAACTTCACGAGGTCATTTCCGTCTTTTTAACTCTCAAAATTTTAAAACAACAGTGGACCCGTCGTCTCCGCCGATTTCCATCTTCTGACCCAAATCAAAGAAACCAAGCATTTCTCTCTTCTTCCTTGTTTCTCTGCAACTTTTCCATTTGTTTCAAATCCCTTCAATCTCTTCTTCTTCTTCTTCAATCGTTTGGTATTAAATGAGATGGTGGAGTCGAAACTATTCCCCAGAAGGAAGGGATTCTATGTGAAAATGAAGCTTTTTCATCACAAAAATGGCGGAAGAGCTCAAGAACAGAGCTTCTTCATCAAATATTACAAATGGGTTTTATCCCTTTCTCTTTCACTCTACCTTTTTACCTCTTATTACATCACCCACAACCATGAGCCACCTCCAATCACCAAAACCCATCTCCCAAATCCCATATCCAAGCTCGCTTCTCGTGCCCTCATCGAGTCTTCCCACGATAAATTCCTCCACCAAGTTCAAGAATATCAAGGTCCTCCAGTTTTTTTTGCTCTGTTTTTGCTCTGTTTTTACTCTGTTTTATGAACCATTTTGTTGATTCTTTGTTTTTGGGTGATTTAGTGTTGAAGGTTTTTGTGTACGATTTGCCATCGAAATACAACGTGGATTGGACTACAAACGAGCGGTGTTCTAACCATTTGTTTGCTTCGGAGGTGGCCATTCATAGAGCCCTTATGAACAGCAGTTACAGGACATTTGACCCACTTGCAGCCGATTTTTTCTTCGTACCTGTTTACGTTTCTTGCAATTTCAGCACCATCAATGGCTTCCCCGCCATAGGCCATGCCCGTTCCCTCATTGCCTCCGCCGTCGCCTTCATTTCCTCTCATTATCCCTTTTGGAATCGCACCAATGGCTCCGACCATGTTTTTGTCGCTTCTCACGACTTCGCCTCTTGCTTTCGCACCATGGTAATTTCACGGCGCAATACAACAAACCCAACTTTAATTTAGTCCAACGTTAATTTTAATTTTTTTTCCCAGGAGGATGTCGCCATAGCTGACGGAGTACCTTCGTTCTTGAAGAACTCGATAATATTGCAAACTTTTGGAGTCAACTACAAACATCCGTGTCAAGATGTTGAACACGTCGTTATTCCGCCGTATATTTCGCCGGTATCTGTACGGGCTACACTCGAGAAGTCGCCGGTGACTGGCCGGAGAGATATTTTCGCGTTCTTCAGGGGTAAAATGGAGGTGAATCCCAAGAATGTCAGCGGACGTTATTACAGCAAGTAAATTTTTTTGAACTTTTTCTCTTACAATAATACTTTTCCTTATGTGAAGTTCTACTTACCTCATGCGGGGTTTTGTTGGTGTTGGGTTTTAGGAAGGTGAGGACAATGATTTGGCGAAAATTCAACGGCGATCGGGGATTTTACCTACAGAGGCACAGATTTGCCGGTTACCAGTCAGAGATAGCACGTTCGGTTTTTTGTTTGTGCCCTTTGGGGTGGGCACCGTGGAGCCCGAGGCTGGTTGAGTCCGTGGCGTTGGGATGCGTGCCGGTAATAATAGCTGACGGGATCCGGTTGCCCTTCCCCACCGCCGTGAACTGGGCGGAGATATCCATAACCGTGGCGGAAAAGGATATAGGGAAATTGGGGGAGATTTTGGAACACGTGGCAGCTTCCAATCTGAGTACTATCCAAAAGAACTTATGGGACCCGAGGAATCGGAGGGCCCTGCTGTTCCACGATCAGCTAGAAGAAGGCGATGCCACATGGCAGGTGGTTCATGCCCTGTCGGAGAAGCTGGACAGGTCGTATAGGCGTTCGAGGGTTTCAAAGCAATAAAAGTAGGCCACGTCATCAGTTAATTGACGGAGTTTTCCAATTAAAAGGTGGTCTACCTTTCCTACGTGGGTGTGGGTGTAGTTGGGTATGGGGATGATGGTTGAAGACAGCTGGATTTTGCATGAAACTGGTCGCACAGTGAAGAATGGTATTTCATTTGTAATGGTGGGGCCCAAACACAGCTGGTCAAGTATTCATCGGGAATATATTAGTAGCAGCAGCTACGACTTCGAGGGGTGAGTAGGCCACGTGGGCGCTTCGGATTGGACAGCCTAATGAAGCAAATATAATAATGACCACAGTGGTGGTGGTATCCATACATGTGAATGAGAATATTTAATTTTGAATTGAATTGAATTTAATTTTTTTTAAATTTCTGTCTCATTTTAATTAAATAACATTTAAATAAAGAAACTAAAAATGGATTATTCCATTTTAAGCAATGAAATTAATTTTTTAGTGTGTAAAATTGGTATGAATTATTAAATGAAAAGGGGGGAAAAAGTAGAGGGCAGAAAATGCAAAAAATAAAGGGAAGGGTGGTGGTGGTGGATGGGATTATAATGAGAGAGGAGAAAGTGGGAGAAAAGTTTATGACAGCTGAAGAGTGTCAGAGCTTTAAATTACACAATCGTGTTTTTGTCGGGCTCAGTGTAGAGGCGTATCAGTCGTGGTCAGGTCTCGGGCTCATTCAATTTTAATCCCAATTATTGGTACACAAATGAAGCTGTTACTCGTTTTTTGTTGTAAAAATTCCGACCTGCCGGATTCGAACCAGCGACCTAAGGATAGCTGTTGGGATACCACTACAGTCCTCCGCTCTACCAACTGAGCTAAGGTCGGATTTGTGTTCCAAAGTCATATTTGTTTAAATACAAACCCTTATAATTGTCTTTAATCTCTGTACAATTATTCAAAAAATATCCGACCTGCCGGATTCGAACCAGTGACCTAAGAATTAACTGATAGAATGCCCATTACAGTCCTCCGTCAAATTTGTTTTCTAATTTTTATATTTATCCTAAACTAACTAAACTAATAATTGTTATATTGGCCTTTTTTTTCCTTGTAAAAGGAAAATAACATTGGTGTCTGACATCTATTTCTATTTGACAACTCTCTATATATATTTTTATTTATTTAGAAATTAGACGGGTATTATTTTTTTATTTTAAAATTTTGACATGAAATGGTAATATAATTTTGTATAGGAATTTAATTGTGGAAGTTAAATGGTTAGATATTGAAAAGTAGGTAAGAAGGACATTAAATATGAGGAATTTGTGAATTAGATGTGGAATCTAACATAATCCTTCTGAGCGATTGTGTCAATTTTAATTTTTACTTTTTTGTGATACTATTGCGTCCAATAATTCAATGATCAAGTTAGTAAGATTTATCGTATTAAGACGTTTTAATTGTGTCATAAATATTTAACTATGGAGTCAGCTCGATAAGTTAATCTTAGACCCAAGTTTTCCGTCTCAGGATGGGCTAGTAGTTGTGTTCGTTTCTCTCAGTCTATTTTGTTCCAGTTCTTTAACTAAATTAACCTATTAAATTAATTCAAATAAAAAATTAAAAATAATATTTGTAACCACAAAACAGCAACTAGTGCGACTATTTTCTTGTATATAAACATTTTAAATAAACCCCGTAATCAAATATTGGTGGGGCCTTGGACGCACACGTAGTATTGCAATACCCGAACCTTTTCCCAAAGCTGGACCCATCACAAGACCTAACACCAAACCTCTTTTTTTTTTTTTGGTAAGTTTATAATTATTTAAGCTTGGGTTTAATTTTAACATTCAGGTATCTGCGTGCGGTCTCTCTTGGGATCATGGCAATAATCATACACTAAGTAATTACTCTGCACCCACTCCATTGCCCGATACTGCTCTTGGCTCATCCCGCCGGAGTCTCCCTTGCAAGACTCCGCTGCCTCCGCCGTGCAACCGCTTATTTTGAAGTTCCGGTACTTGGATACAAACGGCTGGTACTCATAATCCGCCTTGTATTTTCCATCCTCTGTCGCCCATTCAGAAGCATCCCATATCGAACCGTAAATCCACATTTTCCGTGTCGGGAAAGTTGCGTCGTTCATTTTTGTATATCTTCGAATCGGTATGTCGTCCACCAAAAATCTGTCAAAACGATGGAATTAATCATCGGAAATCTGTACAAACAAGACGTGTATTGAATACAAATTATACGGACATGATATCTGATGGAGTCCATTGAATTGCGTAATGGTGGAAATCCTGTGTGGGATCAAACCAGAGATGGAACTTCATTTCTCTTCCAATTACGTTTCCATCTCCACTTCCTCTAATGAAAACGTTTGTTTGTAGAGTGTATGGCTTCCCCGGCGTGGTTCCCAGGAATTCGATGTCAATTTCGTCGTGGTTTCCAGGGAAATATTGATTGTTCGAAAGCTAAATGAGAACAAAACGAAACGCAGTTAGTTCAGGTTGGTTAATTCATTTTCAAGGGTTTTGTAATGATAATTATACTAACGTAGAATGATGTGATAACGCCAGCAGTATAACCAGATTGGAGTTTAACTGAAACACCAAAGTAACCGGATAGGTACGAGCGCAGTGATTTATACCCACTACCTGTTCGACGAAATGCCGCAGAGAGAAAAATCAAGCAAAATACGAAATGGGGTCAGAGAGAATGTGAATATATGGACCAAACTTGTGGACCTGAGGTTTTGTCGAGCCAAATTGTCAAGGTGCCTTGATCGAGCCTTTGATGCTGAGGACCCCAGAGGTTTGCAAAGTACTCACTGAAGCCTTTGGATTGAACAGAGGAACTGGGGTAGTAGCCAGGGGAAGGAGGTGGACCCTGAGCACTACTAAGGTACATCACAAGAACAAAAACCAAGACGAAAAGTGAAGGCTTAGCCATGAAATGCAGGAATGCGATGGCATACCACTGCAAGCTTCAATGGGGGCGTGGGGCAGAGAATTGAAGAGAAATGGAGTGGAAATTTGGGAATAAATAGGGGAGTTCTTGAGATTTAAGGCCCCACATTACAGAATTTTCGGGGCTGTGGAGAATGAAAAAGAATCGTAATCCTCCTGAATTCAATAAAACACAAAAAACTTGTCGTGTCTTATCTTTGCTCTCAATGTTGTTTGTTGGTTTCAGTGTATGGAAATTGGAACAAGTAGCAAGCAATGGCTGCTGCTCTGTTCTGGAATGGAAAAGGCAAAGGAATAGGAGGAGTAATAACGTGATTGATGTCGCAAAAAATGGCCCATCTATGCGTTTTTGGTGAAGTGCTTTTGCAGGAGATAAGGCATGAAAAGCACGAATTGATTGACGCCAATATTCAGCACAAAAGGTTTCCATGAAGGTAATTACTTTCTTGCTTTGGTTTCATGCATTATTTCAAACCGTAATTGGAATTATAATTGTGTTGAGTTTTTCTTTCTTCCTCGATTTACTGTGACGGCTGATTTTGTCATATATTCTATTTTTGGGAACAAGCCTCATCTCACTGCATGATTCATTGCTCTCATGCATCTCATGTGATTTTGGTTCCCAAGGATTATTTTATCACTAATGATCACAATAGGATAGATGATTCAAATCATAGAGTTTTTAGGATTTATCGTTTCTATTATGAATAAGAAGTTTAAAATAATAGATTAATCATAGAATTTTGACACAATATCTTTTATCTTCATATTCTTGAATTCATATGATATTATGTGCTCTTAGGTTTAAATATTTGATTAGTTACCATATAAATAGAGACATCACACATTTACTCATTTATATGATTGTTTTCCCCAACTTCTAAGTTGTATAGAATTAGAATTATGGTTGAATTCCAATACGACACATTGTGGTCTTAGTTAGCTTTTAATGTTTGCCTATATAATTATGTTCATCGGTGACCATTCATTTTTCCTTAAAATAATATTTTATGATTTCTTTATAGAAAATATATATCAATAGACTATCCTTATTTTGGCTATTGGTTGATCATGACTCAATTAGGTATAAAAATGGGTAGAAAATTGATATCAAAAGGTAATCCATTTTCATACGGTTTTTTTTTTTTTTTCTCTCGTAATATCTGATGTGAAGGTTTACAAAATTTATATAATATTTGTTTAACTGATATGAAAATGTGTGGTAGGGAGGCTTTAAGGGAGGGAAAGCCCATGAATGGTCCATTAAAGTACTATTGAGCCCAATGGGCCATTTTAACTTCTACGTTATTGTTTTCAAGCTTAGGAAATTGAAATGAATAGGTACAAATATATATATATATATATATATATATATATATATATATATATATATATATATATATATATATATATATATATATATTTTTTTTTTTT